GCTCAGGCGAGCCTGACTGCGCGTCGAGCCACAAGCCTCCCCCCCCCGGCCCAGTCTTCCATTTTCGTCGTCACATTCCGGTCGTCGGAGAGAGGGATAGGGAGAGAGGGAGAGAAGAGGAGGCGCACACTCATCCTACCACCTACCACCTACCATCCTTCCCTCCCACCTCCACCACTACGGTACCTGATACACTCCTCCACGCTCTGCAGAACTCCTCTCTCCCTCGCGACTTTCTATACACTCTTGCCTTTGATAGATCGCTCCCTTAGAACTAAACTCCTAGACAACCTCTCTGTTCGTTTTCATCGCTTGTCGTTTCCCCTCATCCTACGCGCTCTGCGGCTGGAACCATCCCTATCTTGGCTCAACACTTCCCCCCTTGAATCCGGTCAACGAAATAAGGCGCGCCCCACACGAAACCTAACTTCTGGCAGCGACTCTTCTGCCGGCTGGAGATCCTAGATGACTTCAGCCATGGGGCCTACACCGCCTGGGTCTTCGGTTGGGTTTCAGGGTGACAATGTTGGGCAATCATCGTCACGTTGTATGAGATGTACGCGTCCCAACCCAGCATCGAATAGCCAGTCACAACGGGAAACCAAGGACGCTAACTGCTCATAGTGAAAGTATCCTATGCGTTTGACGATAAGAATAAATCAAACTGCCTCGCGAGGTGGCCGCACTTGATTACCACCAGGGTGGTCGAGCTGGATAAGGACACGATGGTGGGAGCTGTAGAGTTCAAGACTTGCATATTGAGCATGATTTCTGCCAGGTTAGGATCATTACATCTGTGTGGGGATTGGAGTGGCTGATTTGCGGGAACTTGGCTCTTCCCTTCCTTTAGTCCTGAACTCGTGGCAACTCTTGGGCAGGATTACTCGGTCTACGCGTTCGATTATTCCGAGGTTGGGGTTCCTCTGGTTGGTTGTGGCATGCTTTCGTGGGCGATGGCGACTGTCAATTCGAACAATCCCTCGACAAACGCTTCCATGATCACGGGACGTGTTGTGTCCAACAGCTTTGGCTTTTTCAGCAACGATGGAGTCAAGGAGACCTTGAATGTCAAATTGAAGCTTACGCCGGTCGATACTTTTACCCAAGCGCAGTTTGTCGAATCGGTGCATGCATACAACGCCCTTTCGAAGGTGATACCCGGTGGTTTCGATGCGTCTGCTTGGACGAATTACCTTAATGCAAACCCGCGTATATTGGCCCCTCCCGGAGGCTCAACGCCGGCTACATCTAAGCTTTCTCAGAAGGGCGCTACTCTTCAACCACCGCCATCCAGCATGGGAGATTGCAATCCTACTTCTGGGGAGGAGAATGGCGAACCTCCACAGAAGAAGGCTAAGACGGGGTCGGGTAAGGCGAGGAAGCCTAATAATGGTAATCGGAAGAAGAAGGTGGCTGCCGCGGCAGCGCCCGGGGCTCCCCTTGAGTCAATTCCGGAGATGATTCCGTTGCCTCCACCCCCTCAAGTGAAGGAAGATATATCACCTCCACCTCCTCCTTCGCAGCCGTCCCCTACACCGACACCCCCTGAGCTTTGTCAGGCAATGCCAAGTAACAACCCGATGACACCTATGCCAACAACTGTATTTTCCCCGGCGTATGCAAACTCACCCCCCCGAACCGTGGACTCGAGGACCATGAGGTCATCGCCGCCCACTCAGCTCGAGCCATCTAGAAATGAGATATCACCAACTCCCACAAGTCCCGTTCTACCATCTCTCTGCCCGGATGTACCATCACCGGATGACCTAGAGCGGCGGTTAGATGCCCTCTTCGAAGAGGAGGAAGAGGAGCTTAAGCCTCCGCCTGTCTGTCCCGAACAACTGACGACAACGGTAGAGACAGCCCCGGAGGAGGGGAGCCCGCCGGATGATCAACCGGTCACTTCTTCTATGCTGGAGCTACCGAAGATCCCCATGCCTGTTTCTTTGCCTGACAATGTCAACATGAGCGCAGCGCCTTCACCCGATTCGACACGAGTAATTGCAAAGCCCAAGTCCCAGAAGAGAAAATACCCTCGAAAACCTAAGCGGTTGATGTCTGATGGGGCAGCATCCAGTGAATTGGGAGAAGAGAGGGAGCCTGCTAAAAGATCAAGGAGCGAACGACCACAACCCAAGCCTCGCACAGCTGCCCATGTCAAGGAGAGGATTGAAATGCAATTGGTTCAGGCAGTGACTCAAGGGAAAATGCCCAACTTTTGCATGAATTGTGGGGCGATTGAAACGCCTACGTGGAGAAAGGTCATGATTGCTAGGGATGATAACGATGAGGATACCAAGGGCAAGGACGTAAAGACCGAGAAGGGTGAGAAAGAGATATTGCTATGTAACCCTTGTGGGCTCTGGCATGCTTCGCACAAGACTATGCGTCCGCAAGACTACTGGGATGGAAAGAAGGAGGAACCCACGGCGCCGGTCAAGAAGCCCCGAGTAAGAAAACGCAAGCAGCCGGCGACAGCTAAGCAGATGTCCAAGGAAGCCCAACAATCGACTGCAACGCAACTACCAGGACCTCTTACTGGACCAATTGTGGTGCTAGATGAGGAGGAAGTGCCCCGGCATGCGCCGGCAACGGTTCGGAAGATCCTTGCAATGACTCCTCGGGGGACGAGATCCGTGAAGGGGGGTAATCCGGAATGGGAAGCTGCTTCTGAAGCTGCGAAGCGTGTTGTCCAATCTAGTCCTATAAAGCCCGGGACTGTGGATAGTCCTATTGATTTGGATGGCCTTGAGTCGAAGTCAAAATCACCAAGACGGCTATTGTTCACGAAGCCTAATGTCAATGGCGCAGCTAATCCGCGACCACAGAGCTCTAGCGATAGTGACCTAACAAGTAAATCTTTCCAAGAGGAGACCACAGCAAGAGACGTCGGGAAGGAGAATCGCGCCCCAAACTGCCTAGAGCCAAGGGCTCCTCCAGGCGTCACTGCACTCGATAAACCGACAACCCCCCAGAAACGAAAAGTAGTCCCTCTATACCCCCGAACACCCATACGAACCGGTAGCAGAACAAACCTTGGCTCGCCCAGCCCCTGGAACGCCGCTATATTCTCCTCCGCCAAAAAGACGGGAAGTGGACTCTCACCCGAGCACCGCCGCCTCTCCTCTCCACAGCGTCGAAACCTCTCCCCGACATCGGCCTTCCTAGAGAAGCTTTTGGAGGGCGCAGATATCGACATTGCGTCGAGGAACCTAGAAGAAATGTCTACGGATATCCTCGACACTTCACCAAACCAGCACCACCTCCCGGACTCGGCCTTCAATTTTGGCGACGATATATTCGGCACGGACATGACCATGCCTAGCTCCCCACCGCTGTTTAACCTGGATGGTGTGGTGGGCAATGACACTGTGAACAATGCTCTTTGGAGCGAGTTCTTGCCGTCGACGCCGGACATGGGCAACATGACCTGCGGGCTTGACATATTTGAGGATATCCGTGGGGTTGAGGGGCGAGGGGAAGGGCAGAGTGAAGGTGCTGGTCCTGGTGATGGTGATGGGGATGAGGATGGGGATGGAGGACAGAGGAGTGAGAGTAGTAGTGTTGTACCGACGCCTTCTACAACAAGTGGCGGCAGGGTGGACTTTTCGTCATTTATTGACGATGTATCAAAGGCTGTGGCTACAGGCGTTGGGGAGTAGGTGGTTGGGGTGGTGTGTATAGTGGTCGATTTCTTTTCTCTTTCTTCTGTTTGGGCTTTCGTTTTCCTGTCTATTGTCCTTTTTCTCTTGATTTGTGCCTGCCTAACCCGGTGTATGTAAGTGGTGACTACGAGTGGATGATGTGACGATAAGTTAAGTGGTGCCTTGTTTGTTTCATGTATTTTTATTTTATTTTCTTTCCTTCCCCCCCCCCCTTCCCTTTCCCTCCTGTTTTCGTTTCATTTACACTCCTACTATTACTATACCGTTTGCGTTTGTTTTCCTTGGGTTGGCTGGTTAGCTGGGGTGATGTCTGGAGTGGGTATTTTTATTTTTCCTTTTTCCTTCTAGCCTTTGCCACGTTATATGTACCCTTATCCCACACCCCCCTTTTTTTTCCTTTGTTCTTTTGCTTTTGCAGTGGTGTATCATTAGCCGGGTGTATACGTGGTTACAGTCAGTTACTGGTATGATATTATGGGGCTATTTTTTGTTGGAGAGACGAGGCGGGAAAAGTGGGCTTGGCGGACGGGTAGCTAGGTAGATGTAGTAATAAATGTGATCGCATTTTTTTCGCCATAATGTTATGCATGGAGGTGTCGGGAGCGCTCTTTTGTGGATAGGGAAGAGCAGTATCATAAGGTAGCGATGAAACATGGAGTATCACTCGGGTTGTGTTATTGGAAGATGGTGTTGAGCACAGCTCCGCACGAGTGCCTATCCAAATCCTACCTCACTCTCCGCCAAACACGCCCTTCCCCTCATCATATCACACCACTGACATTCCCCTGCACACCAAGGGGTTTACCCACTAGAAGGACAAGTACCATATCCATGAGATAACGAACTATCCATCCAGTTGACGGGGGAGAAGGCCGCATCTCCAGTCCCGAGCGAGACTCACATCAGGAATTTCGTCCGTTGGTGACGAGGAGGCTCAACCCCTCTCTCGATATTTATGATAGATAGGGGAACAGATGGATGGATGGGTGGGCGAAATCCGTGGACGAAACTTGCCATAACACCACGTAAAACCCTCCCACACGTGCACAATGTCCACCTGTGAGCGGGGAGGTACTCTACGGAGTGATAGCCTCTATTTCGTCCCCCATCATCAGCGTCATTGCTGAAATTGCGTGGCTTTGGCATCTGGGATGTGATTATTGTTATAGTACACAGTATGACAGAATTTCTCCGATATCTGTAATAATTCCCCCCCCGGAACGCAAGAGCCTGTTTGTTACACGGTGGTAAAATGAGTGTCCGTCACACTGCGGATAAGGATTGTCTGATACACGATCACTCGGCAGTATCATACCATATCATATCATATCATGCCATATCGTGCGTACCGGTGGTCAGGTGGGCCCCCTCACTCCATTTCGAGAAATTGCGCTGGGGTAGGGTAGTGCAGTAAGCTTTTACAGCACCGAGATGGGTACGATGTTATGATAAAAATGACAGAAGGGAGGGAACGCTAGATACAGGAGAAAGAAAGCCAAAGATCTGCTATCTTTTCAGAATGTACCTTAAATCCCATATATAATGAGAATGGGGGGTTTCTTCCTTTACCCGCCGCCGCCGCCGCTTTCACGATATATACATCTCCTGGAGATACCGCCTGGTTTGTGATGGTGTGTTGGCGGAACGGACAGCTCGGTGTGATATAATACGGTACTATACAGTCCACGGCCCGAGTGAGAATCAATGACTGCGTTGAACATATGATGCTATCATGGAACACGGTGGAACGAATAAGGTGGGTGGTTCACACTTTTTTGGCAGTCTCGATGACCGTAGTCGCCATTTCGAATGATGGCTTTTCCATATCTTTGGCCTTGTATGATGTTCCCCGCGTGAAGGGTTGACCCGGGATTGCGTATGGGGATTGTTCGGGAATCGGTGCTGTTATTGTTGGGTTACAGGAGTTGCTTGTCGCTAGGTATGAGTCGGTCAATAGAGTACTCCGCAGCCTTTTCTGCTTTGTTTCACGGATGTGTATATCGTATATCTTTCATACCAGCTTAATCTTCGGTACATCTCACGGCTGATTCTTACTCGGGTGGCATCGTGAGTGGAGCTCCTGTTCTGGCACTGTGGGTCCGTGATTCTGCAAGTACTGTCCCCCACCCCGCTCTAAACCTTTGACATATCCCATCATACAGACAGGCGAAAAAACCCGTTATTAAACCAAAGTTTATGTGTATATTTTTCTCTGCAATAACGCCCACGCATCCGAACGGCCAAGCAGCGAGTGACCACCATCAGTCACCGAGCTCCATCCCGCCACCCAATCCACCAGTCTCCGCAAACAAGAAATAACCCCGTACCAAAAAGGTTATAGTGAAGAAGAAAAAAGAAAGAGGACACCCCACCCTCTAACTATCATAAAAAATCTCCTTATACTGCTGACATATCCCAACCAACTCCTCATAAACCTTCATATCTACCCCCACCCTCCCCACATCAGCCCCTTCCTCCTCCACTCACACAACCCCAGGGGGGGAAGGGAAAAACACCTACCAAGATTATTCCCAAAATCCGTCGACGTGAGCACCTTGATCGAGAGGTCCGGATTCACCTTCGCCACGACCTCCATCGTATTCCCTAGCTTCAAATTTGAATCCTGATGATCCCTTTTCGTTAGCCCTCTGATCCGTGCACTCCGGTTGCCAGCAAGGTAGCACGGAGGGGGGGGAGTACCCGGTCTGTAAGTGCGACGATGACCCCGCTAGAGTCCAACGTTGCCTTGTCGCCATGAATGTCCGTGACTTTACCCACGAGGCGGATGGTTCTTCCGATGAATTGCTGGAGGAGGGGGGCGTTTATGCGGGGTGTTTGTTCGGACATTTTCTCCTTTTTTTATTTTTTTCGGGGGTTCGGTTGCGTCGGGTTGGTTGGTGGTAGAGTTGTTGAGAGGGAGGAACGCGTTGGGTCGAGTTAAAGTGGTTCGGTTGAGGTTGACGCGCTGAGACTAACTCACACGTTAAGAGTGGGATGCCTGGGATTATGTAATTACTAGTGGGGGATTGTTCCGGTCGGAGTTTTTTCGATCACTGTGCTGGGTTTTATTCATGCGGGGTGTGTCCATACTGTAACAGCCCACAAAGGAGTCCAGGGATATAATGGGTGATAGATGACTTCTAAACCGCTAGACATTGCGCCTATGGCCTATTATGTACAGTACAGGCATTCGCGTCTATTGGACCTACTCCCCTCTCACAGCTTTCCCTCCCTCTCCGCCTCCGCCTCCAGTTCTTCCGGTGTCATAAACTTCCTCTTCCTCTTCCGCTTTTTAAGTTTCTCCCCCTCTCCCCCCTCTTCCCCCTCTCCCCCCTCTCCCCCCTCTCCCCCTTCCCCTGCGGGTTTGGCCGGCGCCCTCCCCTGGAAAAATAGCGTAAACTGCGCCCCTAGCGCCCCATTCGCCTTCTTCCACTCGCCCCCAAATTCCCCCCCGATCTCCCTAACCTTCGCGACAAGTTCCTTGGCCTTGTCAGTCGTAACCTTAGCCATCCCCTTCCTCGTGCCAATAACAACTTCGACCCGATTCCCCTTCCGCATAAACCCCCCCATCTTTTTCATCTTGTGCGCGAGGTCGTTGGGAGAAATCGCCCACGTGAACTCTAGCACTTTGGTGGGGATAGTGGGCTTCATCAGCCTTTTACGGAGCGCCTTGGACGCCGCTTCCGCCTCACGGCGTTCCTTCTCTAGGAGGTGGGCGATGGAAGTGAGCAGGCACGTCGGCGGCTCGTTCCGGGAGACGACGGTGGGGTTCACGCATATAAGGACGTACTCATCCCTATCGAAGGAGTTGATCACGTCGGCGAATTTGACGATGCCGCGGTGTGTCAGGTCGGCATCTACGTAGTGGATCTCACCGTTCAGTGGGATGATGTCCTCGTTACGGAGTTTGACGTTTTTAGGGATGTCCTCAAGGTCTTGAAGCCGTTCGGGGGCATCGTCGAGAGCGGCGTCAGGGATTGTCGGTTCGGTGGCGGTAGTGGTGGCTTGGTTTTCCTCGTTTTCCGGCGATGGCGGGCTCTGATGGTGGTCTAGCGGCTCCAGGGACTCTTGCGGTGGATCGTTGTTCCCTGGGGGAAAGGATAACCTCGGGAGTGCAATTGAGAACTGTTTTTTGGGGAGGAGGAATTGGGGTCTCTGTTGATGGGTTGGTCGTTCGATGAGGGAGAGCCACCGGCGGCAGAGGAGTTGCCGGCCAAAAAGGTATCGCAGCAGCATCTCGGTTGGGATTTTTGTATGAGATGAGACTGTCCGCGTGCATCTGGCTTGGAGGCTTTTGGTGCGGACACCCAGAACACTGGGAGATTACGTAATTACACTTCTCAGCACTCGACACCCAATGTCACCCCTCCTCTTTCCCGCTGCAGGTAGTTCATAGGGTTATATCATAACCCGAACAGGGAGGCTGATATCATCGCGACGCCTGACGGCCACCCGCCCAAAATATATTATGCCATCCCGCCAACATTGCGAACCTATCTATCATTCATACCTTTTTCGTCTTCCTGCCGGTATTCCCTTTTCTAGGTAGCGGGTAGGGAATCATTCAGAATCATTCTCTCGAGCATATCATACTCACCCTCTCTAAAACATCTGACAAGTTATTCTATGTATTTTCGCAGGCGTATGCAACATGTCGTATCATACCTTAGATGGGTTAAATCTTCGGATGTCTCCGGGTGTATTATTTATTTATTTATTTATTCCCCTTTTTCCTGGTTCATGGATAAGTTACTCCACTCCTAATTTCTTCGAACATGCCAGCGTGTAGGTAGGCGAGCAAGCGCTAAGTTATCATGGATCATACATGGTGGCACTATCGGCTTCACTGTTATGGGAAGCGAAGAAACCACCACCTCCAGTCGTCACCGTGCCAACCTCCTGCTCGGCCGGTTGACGAAACCTCCTACTGAGCTGACCTCCTGTCCAGCTGGCTGATAATCTCCTCATGGAGTTTAGCATGCCTAGATGGTGCCTTTGTTACTGCAATGAAGGTCCCTTGATAACTAGAAGGGTTGCTCAGTGCACTCCTCACACTGCCTCATGTTGATGCTGGGCCGATGAAAGGAATTGTGATAGCTGTTTTCATCATACAGTTTCTTTCCTTTTGTTGGCGTCTACCATTGGTGCTTCCTCAAATGCCAACCTTTTCTATTTCGGGGAGTAATGTACCGTACTCGTACAGTTAATCCCGGACCAGAGGGACCTGTACGATCGGAAGCATTGGACAATGCTGGGATAGCCTTTCTTACGTCGGTGCTCTGGGCCTCTATGCCATAACTTAAGTTGAATGCAGCGGATGATCCCTCGTCCTGTAGTATACTGTACCTAAACAGATCTGCGAACTTGGCAGGAAGGAGGGGTGATAATCCCCCTACATCTTCCCATAAAGTTACTTCAACACTCAAATACTCTTGAACCCAAAACTCCACCCGTCCATCCCGGAAAGAATAACAACAATATGAAATAAACAAACACAGACGTCAAATCGGTGTCTTCCCCGTAAAATACCCACCCCCCCAACACCTCCTTCCTACACAATACAACATCTTGCGAAAATCGATACAAATCCGAACCATAAAAAATCCTTGCAAGTAATACATAAGCGTGAGGATACACGCGCGCGAGCGGCCATGGCAGGCAGCGTTGGGGCTTTGCACGATATGATAATCCCGTAGTGTGATATCAGAGGAGTGGTGAGTGGCATGATACATACAGTATGCCCATCAAGAAAGTCCTAAAACCAAAACTCAGAAATTTCTTTTAGGGGGGGGGGGAAAGCAAGTGATAATCCGTGATGGCATAGACAAAGGCTGGACACGGATATTTACCGTACGATGCGATGTATTCGAAGGGTTGTATACCATGTAATAAAAGGCTAGTTATTTTTTTTTTCACGCAAATAAAAATGCGCTACCGTGTAATTAAACCTCCAAAACGCGAATCGAATCGAACTTATCACAGAAAACAAAGAGGAGAGCCCTCCGTCACGCCCCTGATGCTGGTTGAGGATAACTCGATGTCTCGTACCGGTTGCGGCGGCCGCCTTCGAAGAGGAGGTGGGGGGGGATGGAACCGGTCTGGGAGGTGTAGGCCGAGAAGTACGAGTTTAGTTAGGGGTGGGAAGCACCGCTAGAGAGTAAAGAGGGGGCTGGTGTTCGGGGGGTTAGGTAGCATGGTTTCGAGCAAGGTCTTGATTATATATTGTGGGATTGGGTGGTTCGGGAAAATTGGGCCTGGCGGGAGTGAGATATTGTATGTTCGGGGTAGAGTGGTATCCTTGGGGGTAGTTGTTTCTCACACGATAGTCGGGTGTTATGAATGCGAGGCAATTATCATCCAAGGTCATGCGCATGCTCTATCAGCTTCAAAGATCCTACACCCCCGTCGTCTACCGCCACAGAAGACATTACCACTTTGGTGAACCACACACCACCGCTCCCTACCAAACCCATACCCTCCTCAATAAATCTCCCACAACGAAACCTTTCCGTCCTTCGCTCCGCCCGCAACCCAATGCGTCTCCTTAACCTTCTTCTCCCGCCTCTTCTCAACGCTAAGCACTTCCCTTCCGTCACCATCACCCCCCTCCTGCCCACTACCGCCGTCCAGAATCTCCCCAAAAGCGACAGCGTAGCACCCCTCCCTATGCCACTTTAGCACCGCCAACTCCTTCATAGTCTTGACAGAATAAACCCTAATTCTAGAATCCCACCCGGCCGTGGAAAAGATCCTCCCGTCGGAACGTATAGTGATTGATTGCTGGCCGTAGTGCCTTGTGTCTGTAACTTTGATGGGCTCATTGGGCGGGGGGGTGTCGGGGGTGTTGGGGGCAGGGGTGGTGGTGAGGATGGGCAGAGGGTGTTTTGCGATGACGGAGTCGGCAGAGGAGGTTATGAAGTATGGGTTCGTATCTGGCGTTGGGGATACGGAGAGGGATAGGACTGGTTGTGTTAGTGACCTTTTTACCTGAAATTGAGAAGGGAGGAATACTTGGCTGTGAATGCGGTTTGTGAGTGTATACCACTTTCCAGGTGTCTTTTGTATCCCACTTGTACACTACCGCATGCCCGCTCTCGTACCCGGCAACCAACACCAGATGTTCTCCAGAGTAGAACATTGATAGAGACATTGCCATACCTATTTCACTTCTGCCATATCAATCCCCTTCTCCCTCCAATAGTGCGCACAAAAACTAAGGAGTACTAACCGGTTTTCACCCCCTCATGCCGAACACCCGCATAAACCCTTGCACCATCCGGAAGCCTCATAACATCAACCTATCCCATTAGCCCATCATACACACCCAACACCCAGGCAGGGAAATCGACCAACATCCTCAGCTCTCAGCGGCGCCGGCACCGCAACCAAATATCCCCCCTCTCCCGTAGCAGCAGCAGCAGTAGCGCCGGCACACCCCCCGAACCCGCAAAAATTCAGCGCATTAACATCCAACGAAGCCACCAGCCACGGGCTCCGCCTCCAGCGCACCTCATCCTCGACCGGCAACAACACATCCATCCCCTCCTCCTCAACCCTCCACACAAAGAGCTTATTATCCCTCCCATGTCTACCCCAGTCAGCACGGGCTCTCTCGCGACGAGGGGGCACGGCGCACGCACGTAATTATCTTCCCATCCCAGCCATCGACCTTCAGCACGGATCCCTCATGGGCCTTCCAGACGGCGGTCGCGCGGCGCGTGTGCAGGGACCAGAGGATCACCCAGCCCGAGGCGTCGGCCGTGGCAAGGCGGGTGTTGGAGGAGTAGAAGTGCACGGAGTGGATCTGCGCGGCGTGGCCGCGGAGGATGTAGGTCGGTTGTGCGGGGACGGGGGCAGTGGCGGTGAGTGGAGGTTTGGAGGTGGATAGCATTTACAGTTAGCCGGAATCTGTGTAGACAGGGAGGGAGGCGCCGCGGTAGATCTGGAAGCAGTAAATTTGGACGCAAAAGAGTTTTGTCAATACTGCAGGCACCCGGCAGTGGATACCTTATCGTGATTAGTCTATTATAGTCCTTGCAGGTGTACTCGACTAGCACTTAAACCCTAACCCCATACGTTCTCTGTGTACTCGTACATGTACATGTGATCACCCAAGAAGAGAATCGGAGAATCCCTGGGAGGCAGGGACGAAGCTATCTTATCCGAGTGTTACAGTTTACAGTTGGAAGCCTGGGAAACCTAGTCCAACGTAACTTAACGGAGGTATAGTCCCGTATGGTAAGACGCCTCACATTACAGGATACCACATTCTAGCTTTTCGCGATATGCCGCTTACTGCTCGTATGATATGATGGCCATGATCCAACGGTTCTCCCCACCTCACCGAACACCCGGAAAAACATTTTTCCGTCTCGGCACCAGCAAAAAAAAAAAACTCCGGATTCCCCTCCACAACCTGCGGTATGATACGATAGGAGGAAGTATTTTAATAACACCGCAATCCCCCCTCACTACATCAAAACTCGACAATGTCCCCGACAGCTCGCCTGGTGCCTTGGCGCCACCCTTCGGACTTACACAACCTGAAATCCTGCTTGTACCCCACCTCTCCTTCCCCCTCCACCACGCCGGATGCGGACCCTCGCCATCAGGCAGTCCAGAAAGTCCGCGCCTGGGGCACGCGCATGCGGATCCCCCACTCAATCGAGTCTACGGCATTCCTCACACAGGCGATTCTCGCGGACACTCCGTTGGCATCACAGCTCTCCTCGCGGCTGTGCTATGCCAGCGCTCTCTGCCGGTACCGCCTCACCTCCCGCTCTGCGCGGAATCGACTAACGTTGGATGTGGTGGTGGTGGCGGTAGCTTCGTGAACGGCCTCCTAGACCCCGCCCAAACTTCTACATTTGCGCTACCAATGCACACTCTGGCCAAAACGCTTGGTCTACCAACCTCCTTCGTCGAGATCCGGCACGCAGCGACGCACGAAGCCCTTCCCAGCCTGCCGCTACTCCGCACAGCGACGGCTCGAGCGCTGGAATGGTTGTGGGGAAACTACTGGTGCAGCCTCTCCGACCCCAGCTCCGATCTGGAGCCGGCAGAGGAAGGGGGGGTAAAGGCCCGCGCCCTCCTAAAATCCTTCCGCACACTCCGGCGCACCGAGCCTGCCCGTGTGCTGCGGTCCGGTGACGGGCGCGAGGAAACGAAACTCGCTATGGGCCTGATCAAAGAATGCATCTACGTCGCGGGCGACGGCTTGATAGATGCACTGCTAGAGGAGAAAGCGCTGATCCCCGCCGGCAAGCACAAGTCTTCCGCGATGAAAGGCGCGATACTCCTCTGGACACCGCTTCTCGATGCGCTCGATGCAGCCGTGCCGGAGTTTGGGGATGCGCTGTTGTTGGCCATGCTGGAGAGTTTGAAACATGTCACTGCTGGTGCTACTTCGCAACAGTTGGAGTTTGCGGAGGCAGTTATGGCTTGGTTGGTGCATTTGACCACTAGTAATGCTGACGCGAAGAGTGGGTTTGGGAGGGATCCGGATGCGCCGGTTGATTTGGCTGGGCTGGCGAAGCAGTGTGTTTTGTACCCGTCCAAATGGTAAGCCTCTACTAGTCTGAGGAGGAGGGGTTTTTGGTCTGGAAGTGAGGCGGGCTGACGGGAGAGCCACAGGACTATGAGGCTGCTAAGGCATCTGTTGAAGGAGCATGCAGCCCTGAGGGGGAGGTATGCTCGACTTGTGGGGATGGCTGAGGCGCAGGTTGTGCTATCACAGGACTTGGCGTTTGAGATCGAGGAGAGGATGAAGAAGGGGGAATGGGGGACGGGTGGGGAGGAAGGGGACACGCAATTCGCGGGAAAGAAGAGGTCTATCCATGACGTCGAGGAGGAAGTCAGGATGTTTGAGGCTAGGTATGAAGCCATGAAGAGGGTACGTCTTTCACGGAATTCAGAAGGCACAATTACTACATCGATACCTGAAGGCGATAAGGAGGCCGTGGGTGAGCAGGAAGGCGGGGTTGCTATTGGCAGGTGGAAGAAGTGGAGTGGAAAGTGGGTGCCCAGGCCAATTGGTGTAGTATAGCGCACGTCATGATTTCTGATTTGGATGGGGCCCTTTTGCATCTTCAATAGAAATTTCCTTTGATGTGTCTTTCAATTCCCATTCCCACGGTATCCATTTTAAACTTTGCCAACTTCTCGTATATGCCAGAAAACTAGCTTTTTTGTTTTTTTTTCAATAACCACAAATGCAACCAAAAACGAGTCGACAATCACCCGAACTCACCATGATATACGCGAAAGAAACAAAGCAAAGCAATCACCCATCCAAACTGGAGACCGCAGCCTGTAAATGAATAGCTCAAGACGAGGGCACTTGTTGTGGGGCCTCTGGAACCGAAGATGAAGCAGATTCACCTCCAGCGCTGTCTCCTTTAAAAAATTTGTGAGACGAGTGCTTCTTATAGTAGTAGTTCTGAGGCACGGGTCGAAGCTCTTCCGGGATGGATTCCAAGGCTCTATCGCGGATAGCATCAACACTCTCTTGATTGTTGGAGTCGCGGTTCCAGATCATGATGAGGTGAGAATTGAACCGGACACTAATGGAAACCCCGCAGATATCGTCTCCTAGGATTCCGGTTAGCATTCATCCCGTTCAAGAGGGAAAAAGTGGGCAACAAACCCTTATGGACAACCTCCTGCAAGACCTCACCAATAGCCATCATTAGAATCTCCTTCCAGAATTCTTGTGAATTGGCTTTAGGGACCCGGAATATCCAGGCACCTCCATTCTTATTTCTCGGGTCCTCCCTGAGCAAATAATAGTAATAAGCATTCCAAATGTCCCACGATTTATCATGAAAGAGAAATCATACCAGATAGGTTTCACATTCTTCTTGAACAAATGCAGCGAGTCCCTCAGCGGGAGTGTAGTGAACGGGGTATTGTTATAAACCTGCCAGAATGTCTAAACTTGGGGTGTTAGGGAAAAAACCCGGCGTTCAGAAAGCTTTAAAGATGTTCGTAAACAATTACCTGAACAGTACTAATCCCTGCAATCTCCTTCAACTGATCTTCCCACTCCTCCTCGTTCGTATTTGAGTTCCTAGACATTCACCGCCGATCAGCACCCGGGATCGAAAAGCCCTAACTCTAGATTGGTCTACCGATATCGTATCGGATCTGGTGAGGTGGGAGGAGGAAGGGGGGCTTTCTCACCTATCATGCCAAAAGACCCACTCATGCCTCAACGGGTACGGCCTGAGTTTCTTCAACATGTTCTTCCGGAGCTCCGCTCTTATTCCACCGCCATCTCCGGGTCCAGCAGTCGGTGAGGAGCCATTAACTGTAAGAGCTGGGAGAGAAGAGGTGGAAGGGGAAGAAGTGGGCGCCGTCGAGCTTGTAGCGGTAGCAGCCATCCTCTCCTTTTCTTGCGAGAAAGTTGGGTTCTGGTTGCACAAGTGGGAGTGTCGGGCAATGAATAAAGGGGAAATAAAAAGTGTACTAGTACAGTTCCACACTCGAGTAAAATGGATGCAGTATTAGGAAACAAGCTTTGTTTGTCAACAAAGGTGAGGAAAAGTGGGGGGGGGAGTTCTTTGTGTCGAACAAAACTGAGGCCGAACTTCCGGGAAATGAATGGGTTAGCAAGAAAGAGGAGGATGGGGCGGAGTGAGAGAATGAGAGAGGGGGGAGAGGGAGGGATAGAGGGAGGAGGAGAGGAGAGATCGTCGGATTATTATGCTAATTGGAAGCGCCCAACCAGTTTCGCCCTTGCCCTACCGACGGTGGCGGTTGGAGGGGTCTGAACTAGGCTATTGGATGATGGGAAGGAGGGGCACAAAGCTATTAGACGGAAAGTGTCACCATTCACGAGCTGAATGTTTGAAGTTCCCACTTGACGCGTATCCGAGAGTGACCATCTGCGTCGCATCCCTGCATAGAGAGCATCCATTGCGAGCAGGGAGACTGGGAGACGGGGAAAGCTGTCTCCGGAAGGGAGGGACATATAAACCCGGGGTACGGGACCATTGACCTCCGGGAACAGAGAGAGTGTTTGAGTGCGTGCGTCTGGCATGTCTGCTGGCTGTGTGGAGTGCTACAAGTAGGGGCGGAGCGATAAAGTTACGTTAAACGCCCAGCGAACTGCACAGTAGTCTACTTGTAGAGTACTGTGTCCCCCAGGCCGGGTACGAGCCCTCCACCTGGGTACCGTATAATACCCTCCGAATATCCAACCCATCATACTCGTATAATACAGGTAGCATATGGATACCATAGCTTCCTTTCACGGACCGGTGACTTGGCTCCCCAGTCTTGCTCACTCCCCCACCTAATGGCACAAACCTGAGCACCTCATCTACCGTACTGCACCTTATTGCCGGTATGTACAGCAGTAGGTCCTAAGACGCTTGGGAATATGATGGATTTAGTAGCGCTGCGGAAGTCGGGAGAAGGTGTCAAGACGCAACATCTCTTCCCCTCACCTAACCCGCCAGAGCCGCCCCCATGAATAATAGCTGGTGAGCGCCCGCCCGCATTGTACGGAGGATCTGGCGGCGCTACTGTCAGCTGTGCGAGTACGGTAGCGTACGAGTACAGCAGGCGCCTAAGGTGCTCGAGTGCTCGGGGACTGAAGCTGAATTGCTGTACGGGTACGATGCAATGCATACTCGTACAGTAACCTTTGTCCTTATCCTGGAGCACCAGCGCTAGGTCCCGCGAAGGGAAGTAACCGCGTACGGTGCGGTTAGAGGCCCTCTACCTAGCCGTCTGCGTCTAAAATTTAGAGAGTGAAGGCAGGGGTAGACGGTCACGTCGCAGCGGGGGCTGTGGTGAGGGACAGTACAACAGATGGCTGAAGAGTGTTTACCTAATTCTTGACCGTCTCCAATTCTTGTTGCTGTTCAGTGCACAGCCGAGGAGAGGCGTTGCTCCAGGGGTGCAGTTGCAACCGCCGCTGAGCACTTCTGGACGGTAACTTAAGTTAAATACTTGTGCGGTATCATACTCTGGGTAAACACCTCCGGACGCAGGCTGCCCGCACCGCCAACCAAAGGAACAGAATCGGCAAAATGCCACCGGACAAAGAGCAGGAAAAAGGGACGAAATCGACCCCACCCCACCCCCTCGTAACCGAGCAAAGCGAGCATGCCCAATCGCCCCCACCATCCAAAAAACCGAGAATGACAGCTGCAGCGCATACGTCATCGGATTGTGCGTACAATATTTTCCCTTCCTTCTTCCTGCTCCCTCCCTTCGCGATTGGTAGTCTCGGTACCGGCGGTGGTTGGTGGCTAATGAGAGGGAGGAGGCTGGTATGATAGTAATGTCTCGACTGAACTCCTTTCTCCCAGCAATGGAAGCCGCAAACAAAAACCTCCAGGTAGAGATTGAAGATGGAACGGCCGGGAAGCGGAATATTGAAGTGCTGGATGAGGAGGGGGAGGGGTATATTGAGATGGTGAGTGAGCAAGAGAGTGTCCGGACCATGTGGCTGACAGAAGATGGGTCGACAGAATCTGGGATTGGGCGTTTTGGAGGAGAAGAGGGACGAGGATGTGTCCGGCACTAGTGAGAGCGAGGGTGAGGAAGGTAAAGCGGCGAGGGATGGTGAGGAGGACCACGATGTACTGTTGAGATTGCTCAACTCCAGTAGAAGACATGGAAAAGGGCCCCGTGGAAAGCCGTATATTGAGGTTGTTGAGCATTCTGAAGATACGCCTGGGCCCGAGAAGGAGAGGGGTCATCATGCGGGTACTGAAAGAAAGTGATTCGGAATGGGGCTGTTCCATGAGGTGATCGCTTGGAAATGATCGCTTGGGAAGGATAATAATCATACAAACATTCCCAGCTCTTGTTATTATAATTTGAACTATTCTAATTTAACTCACCACGCTTCACTGCAACATACTCGGGGATCCCCCATACCGCATTGCAAGAACTGCTGTAGATATCGACGATCCGAGTAAGAGGAAAGTGGTGTGCAAGAGGGAGGGATACATAGCGAATACCCATTTCGTCGCGCTTCGCTCCACCAGGGTTTGGAGTGCCGGCACAGTGCATACCATGCAGTACGTGGACGGACGAGCTATCCATGTCCAAAGAGCACCAGGAGGGGGGCGGGGAGAAAACGGTAAAAGAAGAGGGGCCGGAAGAAGTAGTTTATACCATGTCCATTAAATTGCGATGAAATCTCACCGTCCAGCCTCCGAGGAGACTCGTACAGTAGAATACAGGTCCAACGTATGGAGAACGAACAAAGGTACAAGAATTTTTTTTAAAAAAATAAAAAGAAGCAAAACACCGTCCCAAGCCCATCCCGTGTATCCCAATCCATCCACCCGTCCATGAAATCCCATTATGATGACGATAAGATTGTGAAGAGCATATTACAGTACTCGTCCATACCCGCACGCGAGTAGTAGCCCCCGACCGGAGTCTGTAGAGAAAAAGAGGGAATGATAAAGAGAGAGGGGAAGGGCAGACAAGAGAAAAGAGGGAAAGGAATAACAAGGGAAACATTTATTGGAAGAGATGATGGGGAATGGGGAAACCCAGATCAACTGCGCCAATTGAAAGGACAAGAAATGAAACCCGATAATGACGACGTAAGAGGAAACAAAGCGGGAAGGGGATTTTTTGGGGAACAAACAGACAAAGAACGGGGAGCATAAAAAAAAGAAAAAAAGGTAGCCCGTAGGCACGAGGAAAGAGGATGAGTTGATACAGCTTGCTTTCTCCCTTCTGGAATTGTGAGCTATATCACCAACCGGTACCGCGGCTAGCCACCTCTTTCTCTTCTCCAATTTGCCTGGTGTCGGGAGGGGGTACTCGAGAGAGAAGTTATTGTTTCCCCCTCCCCCTCCCCCTTCCCCTTCCTCCCCCCCTTCCTCTTCCTCTCCACCCCCCCCTCCATCCCCCCCTCCCCTTTCTTTCCCCATTGGCGGGCTCCTCATCGGAAGCATTTGCCTGTTCCTCAGGCTCTTGCTTGCCCTCTTCCCCGGCTAAGGCGCGCTCGCGCTCGCGCTGACGGTCGAGCTCGATAAGGGAGCGGTTGAGTTCGTCGAAACCCTCCAGATTTTCCTGCTGGGCTTGCTCCCAGGCCGCGGCCATCCTCTCAATCTTGTCGAGAAGGGCGCTACACATTCTATTAGCACATATCGTACAAAACAAGGGAGTAGAATGTTTCTGGGGGCACGAACTCGAGAGCATGATCCTCACGGGGCATTTGATGGATGACGTGACCGGCGCGCACAATGGTATCACGATGGTCGTCTATGTGTTTTTGGATAACGACCCTTCCAGAAGCAAGGTGGGCGTCTGGTAGAATAGTCAAACAGCCATTGATTTTACAGCGCCACCAAGTCCCGCCATCGTCGGGCTTCATGCTGATGAATTTGCGGCAGACAATTGGAGGTCTGCCTCTACCGGGAATCAAGGGTGGCCAATTGTCCTCGTCATCTGCATCTCCGCTGTCGGCACCCTCCGGTGATCCCCCGGCAACGCGGCTGCGCTTGGCTGGTTCTTGGGAGCCTGTAGCGCTACCACTAAGCTGTCTCTTGTGAAGGGTGGAAGGGCCTGGTGCGACCAACTTTTCGACAGTAACGGGAGTTGAATGGGAGGATTGGGGCGGGGAGGAGGGTAGAGAGGAAATGCCGCTCTCTTCCGCGGACTTTTGCTGGACAGAGGGAGTCATAATCGGCCTTAAAACAGATTTTCCTTTGGCGGATCTCGGAGGTTGGATGCATGCAGAAGTCGAGTGGTTGTCTTGATCCATGTCGTTGACTTCATCAAGCGCGTCTGGTGAACGGCCCTCTGCGGGGATTAGGTTTGCGGTAGCCACCACCTCGCCTTTTCCGGAGCCACCGTTCTTAACCCTCGTGGCCGGAGCCCCCACGGTCGCTTCATCATTGTCGCCGTCAGACGGGACTTCGCCTGACATAAGTAACAAGTCGCTATACAAACTGGACTGAACCCAGTTGACCTGGCGACTACGGATCATTGAGGTGCTCAAGTAGTTGGCTTGTTCCTGTAAAAGTAACTGAGCGTCCTGGGTCTTCTCGCCAGATTTTCTGACAATGAAGGAAATCAACCACTCTCTAGTAAATTGGGAGAGTTCAAGATTTCCCTCAAGTACAAATGACTCCAAGGAGTCGAAAAAATATTGGATATTTAGAGAAAGGGTGAGCCGATCGGTGGAAAGCTTTCCATCTGTCTGTCCTGCCTTCAGCAGTCCTTGAACACTCTTCGCAATCCCCTGAAGATAAAGTTAGCAGCGCTTAACAGATTGGAACCTTATCATACATTATATTCAGTGGTTAACCACTTTGAAAGGCAGAAATTTCGCCACATGGTTCTAGCTGTTGCGGTAGGTGAGGAGTCGATACGGTCTAATATCTTTACCATAAGAAAAATTCGGAATTCTCTGAATATAGTTTCTGCACCATTAACACTTTTGCAACTTGGATACTTCTTAAAGTACTGGAATAATAGTTAGCTGTTGGAGTAGAAAGATACAAATATTGAGGAAATTACTTTGGTAAACAGCTTTTCAACGGTGAGCTGTTTAGAATCAGGACCCTCAGCCAGGCCCAGGACCATGTCCCAGGCACTCGCTTTCTCTAAGGACTGATCAAAACACTCGCGGTATTCAAGCGCCGGAGAAATCGCATACCAAGCCGCACCTCCGAGAGCCCAGATTGTAGGCTTTTCTCCCTTGTTCCTGTAAGATTGTATTGCATAAGTGTGGACGTCGGTTAGAGTTATTGTAGTTCCACCCAAACCCTTAGCAAGGGCAGCTGCCGTCTTAACAGAATCTCGTCTTTGACTAGTTACGGGAAGATCTGTTTGGCAGCAGGTTAATATATAGCATATAAAATGCATCAAGTTATGGGTTTCATTTTATTTACCTATAACTATCTTGTTGAATTTAGCAGGCATCTTGACAAGTGTACCTGTAACCCTCAATGGTTTCGTAAAGTGGACATCGAGCAAATCGCAAATTTTATCCGGCCCGTCTGCCACATGCTTGTAGACAACAGCATCAACTAACCGAAGTTGAGGCCATTCTTCCTGGTCAAGTCTCTTGTCATAAGGCTTGAAGATTTTAGTTTCCAACATCTTGCTGTTGGTACGAAGTGCAGCTGATAAGCTGCAAGCTAAAACCAATAATGTTAGTACCAAAGCGGTCGGCTGACGATAAAGTCGCCGATATCTTTGTTTTCATTAAACAAATCCAACCAGTCTGAATAACATCTGTATTTTGTACAGTTTTTTTTCAGGTAAAAGAGGAATGGAGTTGAAAGAAAAATAAGGGAGCCAGTAGGCGTGTGACTGACTTACCAGTAGACTGATGTCAGGACTTGTACTCGAGTTGCGAGAGTATGTTGTAGTCGCGAGCGCGATTGTAAACTCCCTAGCGGGATGGTGATGGTGGCAGGAGGAAGAGGTGGGATGGTTTGGGAGAAAGATATAGGCGAGCTCCCAAAACAGAAGAAGACGCTAACTGGATTGAGCCTGCTGACAGGACTCGAAGCCATTATGGCAGGAGATCTGATAGAGTCACGTGTAATTTCTATCAGAAAGATAGTGTCACGTGGGATATTAGTCATACCATGAAAGTAGTGGTGATCGGGGTTGGGTATGTATTTGGTGCAAGAAGTTAGTATGAAAGGTGATCTTCTCTGTAAAGTCTTTTAAATCAGAAAGAACTATACCTATGATGTTACAAGTTCCACAGCAAAATATAAGTGAAATTTGTAAGTTGTTGAAATATACCCGAAATATACCCGAATATGCACAGAGTATGGTCGAATACCGGTACTGGGGGAAAAGGGAAGGCGGGATAGTATTGGGATAAACAGTTGGAGATAGAGGACTACCGTGCAACCTCGCTAAATCCACCATCGCCCATGGGTCAGGATCCCTGCCAGATTAGGGACAAAACACCCCGACAGGAGATACCGTAGTGTTTTCCAGATGTAGTATAGCTGCAGGGGGGTGAGTCGTCCAGATCTTATTAGCAGATATTCACAATTTGGCTAACCTACTCGGCTGAGACCATTGTGGTTCAGCAAGTGATTTTGGTGGTGATCTCTGATGGTGGATTTAGCGGGTTTATGGTAGTGCAGAAATTCCTTTATTTCTATATTGCGGCTTCCAGTTACTTGAGGGGGAAGTGATACCAACTTGACATAGTTATACAATGACCTAGGGGCCTTTTTTTGTGCGGACGTCTTGGCCTCTTCACCCTCACGTGTCTCAATCCATCACCTCTGATCCAAGGATGCAGTTGGTATTGCAGGTTGGTGGCAATAGTGCTGTGTTTGGGAGATACATATCTATATTAAAAAAGGGGTATCCTTTTCTTATTTTAAAAGATAATAGCTTAATATATATTTATAGCATGAACTAGATTAGCATTGTACTTACCTCTAGTAGGGTACTCTATGTAGTTATGATACTAATATAGCTTATAAAAAATCATATAATATTTAGATTTTATGTTATAATATTATATTAGAATAACTTTGTCAATATATTGCAAAGGCTAAAACTATAATTTCCTAGTATCAATAATTAATTAGAATAAATAGTACTAGTAGGTAGCAACAGATTAGTATAAATAAAATTTAGTATATTTGATTTGAAGAATTGAGTAATGTATTTGTATAGTATAAGTTATAAGGATTTCATATCAGGATTCAATTAAATATTATTATTATAATATAGCTCTTCTAGTCTTATACATATTATTATATATTTGAATTTGATAATTCTATTTGGAGTAGTACTCTTTAGAGAAAAGAAGAATCTTCTAGTACGAAGTATCAGGTAGTTTGTATAGTCATAGTATAATTGTCATGGCCACCCAGCCCGGTATGAGGAAGAGACATTGGACTTTTGGTTGCATATATTGGCTGTAGCTTTTCTGGTTGCATAGTAGGATTTCCTTTGTGTTATGGTTGAGATGGGTCGCTATACAACGGAAACTAGTGGAACCTGACGGAAGGATCGTGGCTGCATACAACGCCAAGGATTTCCTTTTGTATTAGTGATCATGGAGGATTTCCTATCTATATAAGGAGGTGTGCCTCCTTATATTTTATGTCATTCTCCGTCTCCGCTACACCTCCGGTCATTGAAAAATATTTCCTAATCGGGAACGACTCAACACCGAGGAATCATTACCACTTTTCTATAGCCATGCACTCCCCCGCTGGGGGGTGCAGGCTGTTTCTTTCCATCCCTCTGCCCATTGGGGCCTCTCTTCTACTCCTTCCCTCATCTAGTACCTCGCCTCTGCTGGATGGGAGTCCTCTCCTCACTCTGGGGGCCTCATCGTGAGGTCTCTGTCCTCTCTACCCCGCTTTTACTTCACCTCGCTTAGCATCAGCACGGTCGGCTTGGGCGGCTTGGTGATAGCTGGATGGTCAGTTGGGATAGTGGTCCTCTGGGCTATCGGGAGTAGCCTTGCCTACTCCTGTGACACTAGTTGCAGCCTCCTGCCATATTGTTTGGCTGGATCTTTGC